AAATAAATTTTAAATAAAATAATAATTTGAAAAATAATGCTTTTTAAAAATGTTTTCTTACAGCATTCTTTTAATAGATTCTTTCAGGGTTTTGTCAGATGATTCCAATTTCTGTGTCATCTCAGTCTTGGCATGTGTTGATTATCTTTTCCCAAGTGTGTTGAGATTTTTCTGATTATACACATGCTTAGTAATTTTGGATTGTATTCTGATCAGTTTGAACTGTTACAAGACTTTAGGTCTTATATACACTATGGATAATGTTGATATTTACATTTTCGGAGGCAGTTGATTTGGTTGGACTCAGTCTATAACTTCTGCCCTGCTTTCTGCTATTTATAATTTCAATGCTCATACCATTTTCAAAGCTTTTGAAGTCCTTTCTAGATCTGTCTTCTTGTGTACCACTCAGCAGCCAGTTTGGAAAATGATAGTGTCTACCCTTATATATCAGTTCTCAAAAAGTATTTAAGGTCAGATCCCTATATGCACAGCTGGACAGGTGGATAGCTTACCTGGAGAGGTCAATCCAGGAATGTACAAACAACTTTTTTCTTTGTTTTCATAAATTCCACTTTCTCCACAGTCTCCCTGGTACTTTTTATTTTTTACCACTCCCTTTTCAGTCATCTAGACAGAAAGCTGGGAGTTTGGGAGTTTTCTTATAAAACTTTGCTATACACTTCCTGTGATTGAATCTAGATCTAGGGTGAAGCAACTGAAAGACAGAGGCAAAAAGCAAAGAGATTTTGCCCACCTCATTAGACCATATTTCATTTCCTCCCATCAAAAAGGGACATTCTCTTTCTCAGAGGTTTAGGCCCTCTTTTCCACCTGCCCTCTACCAAGGGATTATTTAGGAAAAGAGTTTAGAGGTAATACTAAAAAGAGGTGCTTCCCTACGTAGGGAATGTTCTTTTTTCCCCAAGATAGACAGAGCTTCTGGAGTGCTCTCTTTCTGCACCATGGTCCATCCTCCAGGGCTTTAGTAAGTCCAGACTGGCAATAATAATAGGAAGGAAGAACATGGTAAACCCACTCATCATTTTGGTGATACTTTTCTTTCTCAGTCGGCCTGCTAGTTTACTTTTCACAGCCATCACATAGCTGTTCCACCCAGGTTTGATAAAGGCATTCAACAGAAGAATTTTTTTTTTTTAACCTGGAATAGAATCCTACTTCTCCATCTTAACCTTTCCCGTTTGTCCCACAGAAGTTTATTCTCATTACTTTGGATAATCAGAGAGCATTAGGTCAAATAGCCATGGTATGTGCTACTGGAGTGTCCCTGGGCATTTTCCAGGCCATGTATTGCAATGCCAGGAAAATCCTGCAGGAGATAGGGCACTGCTCTCTGTGGCCAGGGATGGGGCAGCCAGACACACAGCCATAACACAGCTACTGAGATGCTCCCCAGGCAGGGTCATGTAGATAGAACCTGTGCTTCAGCAACAGAGTGTACCTTCTCTGGAAGCCACACCTCAACAAAGTTCACTCCCGAAGGAACCCTGGTAGTTGAGGGACAAAAAGACTCTTCTCCCGGAAAGAGTAAGAGATTCTTTGGGGTTGATTCTGAGTCCTGATCTCAAAGAGATCTAGTTTCCATACCAGACCGATCATTGACTACTGTATTCCAAGCCTAACCATGCACAGTGAGGGCACACGACGTTTCCCAAGGTAGCTCTTATTATTTTATCATGAAGGGGAGACAGCTACAAGGAAAAGAAGCAACTCATCTGAGATAAGAGGTAGCAGAACCAGGCAGGTTCCAACCTGTTTTCTTCTGCACTTGGCTAAGTTGGTCCAAGTACTTCAGTGAAGACTGCCAAGGCCTCCTCAGAGCCCTGATTGACATTTTTATAACTCAGCATGAAAAGAGCTTGCATGACTTAGAATGACTTCTCCAATGGCCAGTGTTAGAAAATGGCATCCAGCCTCCCGGGTGAGGATATATAATCCAAGCAGAGAATTTACGAGACAATCCTCTCAGGGTTAGGTAGTAACGGTAGGTGTATTTTTTTTTTCTTTTAAAATGTTTTGCCTTAGGGTACATGCACTAACTAGAAAGAGAGAAAGACAGTGAGAGGGAAAGTGAGAAATCATCCCCCAGGGGGGTGACCATGCTGCAATCCCTTCTTCATTCTCCTCCTGGGATTCTGGGCATGCACACATATGCACCCAGTGTGATTTTCTAGCCACCACGTCCAGGACTACAACTGCAGTTGGCCATGTGGAAGTCCAATGCCTTAACCACCACACCAATGCTGGTCCCAACAGTAGATGTATTTTAAAAAGCTACCCACACTGCAGTGAAAATAGCCTTGATAAGGGAACTTTAAGAAGCAGGTCAGCTTCCATTAGAACCTGCCTTAATCCCAGCCACATAAACACAGCCAAGGATACTTGGGACCACAAAACAGCCTGGAAAAAGGATGAGTTTGGAGGAGAGAGGGTAAAGGAAAGAAGCATGCAAAATATGCCAAAAGAAACCTCTTCCTAGTACTGGAGTCTTGGGCCTGCTCTCTGGGGAGGACACCATGGAAAGAGAGAAAAGGGTGGTATTTTAATGGCTGCCCCTCTGAGCCTCCTGAAATGCCTTGGCCAGCCACCAAGGACTTCTGTGGTCACTCAACCTCAAGGAATTATATTTTACACATCATGTGTTAATTTTTATGAGCATATTTTACATTTTAGAGTGATACTTAGCAACAGAAAGGGTTGGCTCCCTCCTCAAAAAAAGAAATGGGCTCAGTGCAACCATCTGGGTGTGCTCAGGTTAGGGTTAAAGACACCGGCTTTGAGAGCTGCTTAAACCAATTAATGCATTTGGTCCCCACAGGGTGAAATTGAGTTTTCAGATACATTTGTAAAATGATGTGCTTGATGGTTCAATATTGCATTCTTTGAGCTATACTTCCTAACATATTGTCTGGTATATACCAGTTAAGAAGTGGTTTCCCATGAAAAACTGACAGTGAAGCTGAACGTGTTTGATAAACTCTGCGCGTGTATACGAACATGTAATTGTTTTATTATGCGATACTTTTACACTTGGAGAGAAAGGTGCTTCATAATTTGGCAGTCATTTGTCAGAGCAGCACTTGGGGCTGGCACTCAGATGACGGCATTGGAACTGTGCCATTGTTTCTCGGAACTGCTCTGTGCTCCGGTTAGGTTTGCACGCACCCCTTGTTTTATTCCTACAGGTTTAGTAAAGTTCAAGCTGGTCTCCTGGAAAACCTGAGCAGCATCCTGTCCCCGGGTCAAAGCCCGAAGACAGAATCACTAACTCTGCTCTCTGAGGAAGGCAGGAAATCGGCCTCTGTTTCTTGCAGTCATCCCGGTGCTGCTTTTATTGTTTCTTTTTCCGAGACAGCTGTCCCCGAAATCTCTTTTTTCTCCAAGTCCACACCAGGATACCTCACTCTTCTTTCTTTCTTTTTTAAAGTTAGGCATAACAACAACAGCAACAATGGTAATGATTAACAGTTTGATTTCAAAACCTTTTCTGAAGAAATGACAGTAAACAGAGTCTGTTTGCCTAAGGAAACCCTCCCAGCAATCAGCCAGTAACACAACTGCATGTGCTAATGAACCCAAAGCTGTTAATGTGGTTTCTTCAGTTAAATTGATTCATGAATTTTGAAGAGAACATTATCTAATGAATTTTCTTTGAATAGAAAGCAATTAAAAGGACAAATCAGTCTGATTAACCCCAAAGTCACCCTCCTGCCACAAATGGTGTACAGTTTGAAATTATATCATAAAAAACTAGAGCACATTTGCTATCTTTTTGCCCTCTACTAATCCATGTAAATTAATGAACAACAAAGTTAATTTCTTTGATGACCCTTTTCTAGTATCACCTGGATTATGCTGATGTTTAATTTGCTTAATGTTATAATAAAGACTAAACAGATTTTTTTTTCCCAGTGAAGTGATTATCGTTCCCTTCAGTTAAGAAGTGATTTTTATTATTTAACACACATGTAAGGGTGTGTTTCCTTTAAGAACCAAATCACACTTTGCCAGCTTGGCACCAAGTGTAATTAGTGCTATAATGGACACAGTCCGGAACATCATTCCTGCCCATGGATCCTTCCCTTTGTTGTTGCCATTCAGAAACTCCTGCCCCCGGAGAGTTTGGAGCCCCCACAATGGAGGACAGAGTTCCATCTCCAGTGTTCCTGAGCTGTGTGTCCCCTTTGGAAAGACAATAAGTATCGATTCACAGTGGCCTCCTTCACGTGCCCGGTTTTCTCTCCTGCAAACTCTATGCAGAGGAAACACTTCTGAAACCTGGAGGCAGAGGGAGAGGATGTTCTCATCCGTTTACCTATTCATTCCTGCAGCAGGATACAGAGCAAATACAATTTGATGTGGTTAGTCAATTAAAATGGGGATAAAGTTATTTTATTTTTGCAGCCCTATTCATTAAAGATGCCTCTAGCCAAGGTCACTGCCAGCCCCTGCATACCATAGCGTTTGGCATTCTGAGCAGTAGCTGGGGGGAATCCTGCTCATTGTTGGATGTGGACAGCCAGCATAATATTGCAGCTCAGTCCATGGTTGCTGCTGCTTCCTTCTGTGTCCCAGCTGAAGTTGGAAATTAACCAGCAGTGCAAAAGGTTTCCAAGTAGGTGGGCAGGCAGGGACTTCTGTGCTTATTAATTGAACTGTGTACTAATTTATACATGCCCACTTACTGAAAGAGCAACACACACATTCCTACATGAAACATGAGAAAAGTGGGAAGAATTTACAAATCTGTGATGTGTGGTTGGGGGTTGCCTTCCAAGGAGGCTAGCCTGCTTTGTACCCTGCCTCACACTCGTTTCTCCTTGCCTGGTGACAAGGCAGTGTGTGGAGGCTATGTTTTAATTGAGTATAACACCTCTATTTGTGCCGATGCATTTTCTGTTTCGGGACTGGCAGCTATTTATATCGGAGCTGTTGGAGCCGTTTGTCCAAATAACGTCATTCTGCATTCTTCCTTTCAGATTCATTCACCAGACAGGTGTTATGGAAGCTGCTGAAGGTTGTGAAATTCGGAGAAATGGTTTCTTACCAGCAATTAGCAGCCTTGGCAGGCAACCCCAAAGCAGCTCGGGCAGTGGGAGGAGCAATGAGAAGCAATCCTGTAAGTTCTCACGGGTGTGTGGGTATCAGGTTGGCTGCAGTCAGTGGGTGGACCTTTGCACTGTACTCGGGAGTGAAGTGCCATTTGATTAAATGTGTTTCTCAGACCGCCTGTGTGATGAGGGTGGGGTGGAAGGAAGCATCTGTGATGGGGATCATTGTGCCAGCACCTTCAGAAGAGGTTAGGAACCTACCTTTTCAGTACATACCACCAAAAGCCTCAATAACCACATGAGATACAGCTAAATAAGCCCCTGGCCACCCCAGCGTAAAAGAAGATAAAGCCTGGAGAAGTGGTGAGCAGACCAAAGGGAAGCTCTGTTCATTCATTCATTCATTCATTCATTCATTCTCCAGTTGAGTATATTGGTGTCTGTTGTAGGAAGATGTACAGTAGGGTGCAAATCCAACCCCACCTCTTGGGCACCACACTGTGTCATTAAGATCTAGGGCTCTTTGGGTCTCCAGGGCTAAAACCTAATGAGAGAACTTAAGAGACATGAGATTGTGTAACAAGGTATGATTTGCCACATTTGGGCATTATCTCATCAGGGATGATGCCTTATCCAGAGCTCTTCAGTGTCCTCATTCCAACTGTCTGTCTATCATTGGGTTTTACTGAGCTTGAAACTCTCAGACCACACAAAACCATGAGCCAAGCTCCTGGGGCCACAGCGTGGGGTACACTGTGTGGTCTTGGTGTAGGGAGCACAGTGGGCACAACGTCCAGGCTGCGAGCCTTCCACTGTCAGCAAGAGAATTGTGCACACCACATGATGTGGGCCTCACCAAGGCCGTGCATGCCCATAGGTCCTACATGTGGATGGGAAGGGCATCCCCCATCTGCACAGCCCTCTGGGAGAACCACACAATCTGGAGAGTGCCTCTAGAATATTCTCATTCTCATTAGTCCTTTCAGTGCCTGGTGAGGGTGTGCTATCACATTAGTAACGGTTTCTCCCTACAGCTATAAGAAAGTCTCTGATATGATAGAAGAATGCCATCTTATCAGGGAGACCAAATATGATCATCGTATCACAGGGTGGGAAATTACTAAATCAGATAGACCCCACTTTTTAAAAAATTGCTGTGGCTTTGCTGTATATTTTCGAAACTATTTTCATCCCCGCTCACAGGGGAGAAGCAGGCGTTTTCACACCACAGCCTGCTGCTCCTGCCACTCGGCTGCGGCAGGCCCCGGGCGGGGGCCCCCCTTTTCCCCCCCCCCCCCCTGCTCCCCCTGCCACTCGGCTGCGGCAGCCCGAGGGCAGAGCCCTCCGCGTTTCTAGGAGATGGCAATTACGTAGCCTTTTGCACAAAACTGCATTGTTATTCTTTTAAGAAGCAGCTCCTGTAGGTTTGTAGTGGATTGCATTGCTGTAATGTTCACCTAATCTGAGGAAGTTTTCTGCCATATTAAAAGAGCCCAAATCGTCAGGAGTGAGATGCAACGTGAACAACACATATGGCCGCCTTCTGCATCTCCTCATGTCCTGAGTGTTGCTGACAATGGCTAGTAGGCACAGTAAGCACTTCTTTTTGTACCTGTTGTGTCTTAATTGCAGAGTGTTCAGCTACATGATTAGAAGACATCCTTTTTATGCACTGTCTCCTTTTTCACTGTGAATGTAGGATATTTCTGAATCAAATTTCTAAAGATGTTTTTGACATTTCCCAATAAAGGTTTGTCCGCATCTTCCTTTTGGAGAGCCACTGTCTTCTCCCAGGTTGTGACTAAAGTTTGAGAAGTTCAGCTTTGCTATAGATAAAAAGGCAACTCAGACACTGTCAAATTATAGCCTCATTAAATGCCCTGTGAGAACATTGGAAGCTAACGTTTATTTTTGGCATTCTCCTTTTGTATTCTTGCAATTGCCATTTCAGGCAAAGGTCCTACTCTTCATGACCTCTGGTTAGAGTTGGTCGTTTTCTCCCTCCACACTGAGGTATGATTTGATCCCTCGTGTGCACACACATGAGGGCAGAAGCTGTCCTATTAGTGCACACCAACACTGCTTGCTTCCTCAATGTGTGCAACTTGTATCATCTGCTGTAAAAACAAGCTCCACTAATCAACACAGACATATTAGTAACACATACACCCCCGCCTGCCTTTTGTGACGCCAGCAGTTTCTCACTCTGCAGTGGAGATGCCATCGCTGGTTAGCAATCCTGCTTGTGGCAATATTCAGAAGCATTTATTGTTCTGCAAACCAGCGTGACTCTCTTCTCCTGCTATTAATCTCTATGAATGTCTCTGTTCAAATATGGCCTCAGTCACTGAAATTTATAAAATAGGATCTCACATGGTTTAGAACTCTTAATATCTGTGAAGTCTACGTACTAACTTCCCAGTCAAAACCAAGAGTGGAGTTGTTAACAGAACCAAACAAGGAATTCTGGGCACCCTGTCCAACTCTTCTTGGTGTCTGCATCACTTCTATACCAGGATAGTCAGGGTGGTGGTCTATTCTGTGGCCTTTCTACAGGCTTTAATTCATACAGGGGGACTTCAAAAAATTAATGGAAAAATGGAATTAAAGTATAAATTAGTACTATTTTGATGCAAAAAAGTAGTGAAATTCATGCAAAGGGTTTTCATAATCTGTATTTTCCATTAACTTCTGAAAACCTATCCTATGGTTACCTTCAGCGTAAGGAGAAGTTGCAGCATTGCCAGAGATTGGTTGTGGCAGACATGCCAGAAATACTCCTGCAAGAAAACTCTCAGCTACGTAGGTTACCATAGTTCAGGCTGATGGGTCCCCATCGATTTTTATTAAACATTTCATCAGAATAGGGACCGGTAGTTAGCGTAATGGCTATGTCGCTGAACTCCCATGTAGTTGACTACGGTTCGCGTCCCGGACCCGGTGGCTTAAAACTCACGCCAGGCGTGTGTGTGTGTGTGTGTGTCCACGATCCCGAGAGGAGAATAGAGGAGAAAGGATTGCGGTGTTACCATCCCCCCTGGGGGGTGATTTCTCGCTTTCTGTCTCTATGTCTCTGTCTGTCTGGCGAACACACGCGCCCTATAGTGAAAACCTCTCCTCCCCCCCAAAAAAAGAATTTCATCAGAATGGACAAGGAGGATCAAAAGTGATCCTGAGGCTTGGGGGCAGAAGGAGTCCTGGTTAGTGACAGGCCATAACTGATGTTGATGTCCTCAGTGGTGCCTCCTGTTGGCATGGACAGTAGGGGCCCAGCCAGAGGACTGTGTACATCAATGCCAGTACATCATTGAGACTTGCTCATTGAAAACATCTCTTATGTTCAGGCTGGATAGAGGAATTGTGAGGGGAAAGAGAGAAAAATGGATTTGGAATGTTGCAAACACCATAAAGCTCATTGTGCATTAATTCCTTAGGTGGCTTACAATAAACATGAACACACGCTGGTTCATATTACAACATTTGCTGTTGGTGTGGATTTCTGTTCCCCCACCAGAGTAAGGGATGGTTTTTTGCTATGTGGGAGTTTTCTTCATCCTAGGAATTCAGTTTCTCCAAAGTTTTTCATGGAAGGCTCACTAGCCCACACAGCCTTTTGGAAGGTTGTTTTCTCAACACAGCATGAAAGGGTGGTCAGTTTCTTAATATATCGAATTGGAAACTCCTTGTGCCCCCCACCCACCCTCAAAGAACCCTTCTGCTTCATACTCAGACAGAATTTGCTAAATGCAGTTCAAAGGCAATCAATACATTGCACAGAGAGTTTCCCCACCTTTTTCTAAACAAACGCATTCCTGAGGAGTTAGTTTATTCACAGATTGCCATGAGCGTTAATGACCCCCCGAGTCTTGTTCTGCCAGTCACCCAGATGGCTGTTGATAAAGATTTAGCATCATGTTCTAAGTGTCAGGGTTGTCAGTGGAGCTGAACCATTTGACCAGAAGAAAAAAACGCACAGGGAGCTATTGATTACAGCTTCTCGGTGTCACTTGTTCACCAGGATTTAGGTATTGATGAGGCTGCGAGTGAAAACAAGCTCTTTCCCTTGTGGGCTGCTACCCAGAAGAACAAAGGCAAAGTTGGAAAAAATATTCAGCCAGTACCAGAATCAGAGGGATTCCATTATTGATTGAAAGGCCCCTTCATGTTATTTTTGTTGGAGACAAATCTATGGGTTTGGAAGTTTTATAGCATTTGAGAAAGGGTCTGCGTAAGTGATGGATTCATGTATTGGATGAATTAGATTTCACAGCAGGAAGATTTCGATGCAGCTGTGATATTATGAGCTTCTTGGTTATTGATAAAAATGAAATTTTATGCAGCACAGGCTTTAAAGAAGAGGGTATAGAGGGTATGGATCCTTTTGAAAATGTCCTTAGGGCCCCAATAAATTTTAACAGGTTTCATTATTCTAATAGTCACAAACCTGCACCAAAATTAACACAGAAGCACCCTTTTCTGTTTCTGCAGTTAAAAATAGTGCATATGTGCTAAGTCACCTATTTCCACATCACTGCATATGTAAGCTGAAGACTGGTCACAGCTATCATAATAATTGTTATTCCACACCACTGGTGTTGGTATCTATGTTCATACATAGAAAAAGGGAGAGAGGGGGGGAAATGTTTACATTACTTATTTTTATAATTTCGTAGCTCATTGGAAAGTAGAGAAGAAAATTGAAGCCTAGTTGTGAAATCTGCTGTTGGGTAGGAAAATTGAACTGATGCCTAAGTGTTTGTTAAACTAGATTGAATTCAGTGCCTAACCTCTTTATGAGTCAAAAGTATGAATTGTGTACTATCTAATGATGTCCTCACAGCAGTTGTTAATGTGACTATTATAGGTGATAAAATGTCATCAGAGTAAATATTTTGTTTCTACAATTTTTTGTTCTTCTATAGAGATTGGAATTATATACTGTTGGCAGGACTTCACATAGTTTCTGCTTTTCACTGTTAAACTCTCTACTGAAAAAAGTTAACTGTTCATCACCCTCACCATCATCCTGCTGATAGTTGTTAGAATACTCTAGACTACATCACACGTATTGCCATGGTAACCCGAACTTGGAGTGAGACCAGGCCTAGCTATGTGATGTGAGGGTTTCCAGATTTCCACCTTCTAAGACATTATCTGCCAATGCAGGTCGCTGTCCCATCAGGTACCACCACATGAGCAGAGAGTAAAGATCTCTCCACTGAGCTTCAGGATGAGTGGAGGGAGAAAGGAAGTCCAGAGTTAGATGATACCCATGGTAGCCTGGGGAATCTTTGTCCTTGAGGTCTTTTTTTTTTTTTTTTTTTTTTTTTTTTGGGGGGTTTTTCCTTGGGGGGCGGGGGCGCCCC